ACGTGTTTGATGACGTTCGTGAGTTTGCGGTTTCTGAAGCCACCCTGGATGCAGCAAGGAGGGCACCACCTGGGGACTTGCTCTACTCTCGTGGGCTGTACCCCAACTCCTTTCTGCCTGCTTTGCCGCCCAGGAACGATACTGGCATTTGGTGCTATGATCGTGGAGCTCGGTCTGAAGGACATTTTGTCGTCACAGGATCGGTGTTCACTGACGGATCGTGCAAGACGTTGCTTCACTCGGACGCTGCTGACCGCGCGGGCTGGGGATTCGTGGTTGTGGGAGATCCCCGCTACTACGGAGCTGTCTTTGGGCCGCTTCCTGGCCATCGCCAGACGTCCGCTCGGGGCGAGCTTTTCGCTGTGATTCAGGTGCTGTCCGTCGGCGTGGCCCCGCTCCACATCTTCACGGACTACTTGCCGCTGCTTGAGGGGCTGGCGCGCGGCAAGCGCTGGTGCCTCAATCCGAGGCGTGAGAACGTCGATCTGTGGCGTCGCCTTTTTCACCAGCTTGAGGATCACGGTGGTTTTTCCATTTCTGGTGACCTGGAAGGGCCGATTCGTTTCTCTTACGTCAAGGGCCACTCTTGTGAGGACTCGTGGCATCGCCGCTGCAATGATTTGGCTGATCAAGCGGCGAAGAGGGGTCGGCAGATGCACGACCTTCCTCTGGGCGTTGTCGAGAGGTACACCGACTCGCTGAATACGCTCAGGTCGGTCGCGACATGGATTGCAAACGCCTCCAGGGTGATTTTCGACGGCGCCGTGGCCCCCGATCGCATGGACGCCCCACGGCGGCGGGACATGGAGCTGCGTGGCCGCTGGGCGCAGCTGGAGGCGGCAGGCGCTGGAGGCGGCAGCGCCGTGAGGGCGCGCCGAGGTGCGGGTTCGCCCGCAGGTGAGCAGGCGTGCCCGCCTCAGCTCCTGCATCGTGTGCGGCTCAGAGGCAGGAAGTATAGTTGTGATCGTTGTTCCGCTTACGCGGTGACTCCGAAAGGTGCTGCTAGGCTTAGGAGGGCTCTTTGTAGGGTCGCGGGGGCGGCGGCCCTCTGGGGCCTGGAGGGTGTTTCGCTTGTGCCTTCCTCGACTTCGGCCCCTGCTGGGCCGAGGGGCCCTGGCGGGCCGAGCGGGCGCGCCTCGGGCCCCTCTGAGGTTGGCCCCTCCTTGGAGCTTCGGGGTGTTGAAGCCCCAAGTGGGCCAGAGAGGCCGCCGCCCTTCGCGACTGAGGGTCTTGAGCGGTCCTTGGCCTTTAAGCGGGTGAGGTTTCAGGTGGATGGTGTGGGAGAGGACCAGCTGGATGCTGAGGTAGGGGAAGCGCGTCGGCGCGCCAAAGAGGCACGCTCCCTGGGCCCACGAGAGCCCCCCCCCCCCCCCACCGCCACCCCCCCCCCGCTCCTGCCAGGACGGCGAGGGACCGCAGGGCTGGTGGGCCCCTGGAGGGGCCTTGTCCGAAGGCGCCTCGGACGGGGGCTGCGCCCTCTGCCTCGGGCGTCGGTGAGCCTGCGGGCTCTGGGGAGCTTGTGGGGCCTCCGCCCTCCAAGCGCCCTCGGACCTTTGGAAGTCCTGGTGGGCCTTCCTGGGTCGCGCGTGAGGCCACCCGCCCTGAGGTCCCTCTCCCCGCTCAAGGCCCTGTTGGGCCCAGTAGTGCTAGAGGACATCAAATTAGTCTTGCTGGTGAGACCCTTGCTTTCTGCCACCGCTGCGGCGCCAGGGCCCAGCCGTCGGCCCCTCGCTCTCGTTTGTGGGGCCAGTGCGAGGGAATTGCATCCAGCAAGGACGCCGCCTTTTTAAAGCGCCTAGTGGTTGGTAGAGACCCCTGCTCTGGCGAATGGCGGGGCGAGCCCCGTCCTCTCTTCCCCACAGACGATGCCTGCTTCTGGCTTCGTCTGCGGTAGTCTGAGGCTCCGTCTCGGGCTGTTCTCTCTTTAATCGTCGGGTTGCGCGCCCTCGGCCTGTGTCCTTCTCTTTTCCCCTCTTTTCGCTCGCTCTGCGCACTCGTTTCGATCTGGTCGTGCCTCCCCCCCTACTCCTACAGTTGACGCTGGGACTATGTCAACATAAATTGCAAAAGAGGCTCGATGATCCTTGGGCCATTCCATGAGTTTTTATTTCGTGTGTCTGCGAGCAGCTGAGACCCAGAAGGGGCATCGCTCCCCATCCAAGGCCCAGAAGGCGCCTCATCTCCTCCTTTTTTCCGCACCTCTTCTGTTGAGAAGTTCGCGCCTCTATAGCTCGGTTGCCGCTTCGACCGCGGTGCGATCGCTCCACCGCCGCAGATGAAAAAAAAATCCAGTCCTGGTGTTCCTTGTGCCGTCGGCCCTTTAGGGTGCCGGTCCCTCAGGGAGTCCGCATGCCCCGATTCTGCCGGTTGCTCCGCCAGCGCCGGCGGACCAGCCCCTCCCCCCCCGCGTGCGCGCGTCTCCGCGCGCGCGGGAGGGCGCACAGGCGTTTGGCGGGGCGGAAGGGGAGAAGGAGGAGGAGGAGGAAGAGGCGGAAGGAAAAGAAGAAAAAGGAGGCGGAGCGGGATGAGGAGGGGAGGGGGGAAGGAGGATGGGGAGGCGTAAGGAAAAGAGGAGGAAGAGGAAGGGGGAGGGAGGAGGAGAGGGACATGATTAGCAGGCGTGGTTGAATCCGCAAAATCACAATAGGCGACCACACGTAAACCCTTCGACTGCCCACATTTGCCCAATTCAATCAAGTATGTGTCTACAAGGGCGTCAAGATCATCGGGTTTCGCGCGTTGCGGCCTGTGCCGGGGAGCTACCCTTCTCCAAGGCGGCTTCGCAAAAGCGCGAAGGTGATCGAGCATCGCGGGGCGTTATGCGCGAAGGCAAATGAAATTTGAAACTTGTATGAGCAGGTCCGCTCGAGGTCCGAAAGAGTGACATCAGGTTTGGGCGTCGGTGCGCGCCGACCTCCGCATCGTCCTCCTCGTCCTCCTCCTTTTCCCCCTCCTTCTCTTCCTCCTCCTCTCGTTGTTTGACTCGCCCCCGACTCCGGCGTCCGAGGCCAGCTTGTTGGCCCCAGGGCCATCGACAAACACAGCATGAATTGGGTTCTCGGAGCTCTGCGACCCACGCCGTGAGAACAGGCCACTGCGTCGGAAGTTTGGCCAGACGGGTAGGGGTGTGGAGGGTGAGGAGGAGGTGGACGAGGAAGAAGGAGCAGAAGCTTGCTGCTCTTCCTTCACCCTCCTTCTGCGCTTCCTCCTTCTGAAGGAGGAAGCGCAGAAGGAGGGTGGAGGAAGGGAAGATGAGCAGAAGCACGGATGAGACGAGGAGGATCATGTCAGACCGCAGGGGTACGATCGGTCGAACTCGAGGAGTCACGAGCAGAGATCAGGCCAGCAGCTCTGGTTGTGATTGTCTCACGACGCCCGAGTTTCGAGTCGGATCAAGCCGTGGTGACGAGGAGTATCCTTGAGGCCCAGCAACGATGATAGACGTCCACCTTATCAACGTGGAGATCCCAATATATACACCAACTTTTCTGGCGAGGGGAATGAGCAATGGTGGGCGACTGCGTACGAGTGAATCTAACAGTAAGCGAATCCGGGCAACGGTGCCCTTGATACGCTAGTCGACTCACCTTTGGGGTGCCCACGGGTGCGCCGACAAGGGCCCCCGAAGGAGCACAAATCTGGACGCGACCGGGCCCTGGTACACCCCTAGTCAATCCCATGTTGGAGCGGCAAGGTGCTATGCCTGCTACGTCGCGGTGGTCACAGTGGCTCTGAAAAGCAAGAGAAGCCTGGGGTGCCTACACAAGCGTTCAGCCTGAGAGTGGACATGAATCTGGACGCGAACGGGCCCGTGCGACATACCTGGACGCGAACGGGCCCGTGATACACCCATGGGCGGCTCGCCCCCTTGGGCGCCCAAGTGCCATGCCTGCCTCATCGCGATTGCTATTGAGCTCTGGAAGGAAAGGAGCCTGGGGTGGCAAAGCAGGCTCCGACTTGCAAGTGGTAAAACAATTGGACGCAAACGGTGAGGTGATACACCACTGGTCGACCCCCCCTGGGGGTGCCCAAGTGCTATGCGTACTACGTCGTGATGGATAGTGGGCTCTGAATAGAGAGGAGTCTGGGGGGCGGCCTAAACAAGATTTCCGCCTCAGTGTTGGCACATCTGGACATGAACGGGCCTGTGCTGAAACCTTGGCGGCAGGACATGCCTGTGATGTAGCGATGATCATGGGCCCCTGAAAGGAGAGGAGTCTTAGGTGAATCGACGATCGCTCTACCTAGCACTGAACACACATCTGGTCGCGTACGCGCCCGTGATCAGCCCCTGGTCGACTCCCCGTTGCGATGCCCAAGGGATATGGAAGATGAGTCTGGGATGCCGAAGAAGGGCGTCCAACCTTGAAGTCATCACGAGTCTGGACGCGAACTTGCCCGTGATGCACCCTGGGTGAATTCCCCCTCGGGGCGCCCAAGTGCTACGCCTACAACATCGCGGTGATCATAGGGCTCTGAGTGTCGGGGAATCTAAATATGATAGCCGGGCAAGGACTGATCCTGGGCATGACTTATCTGAATGTGGCATGATTAGTGCGTACCGGTTTGAATTTCTGACTTAGTTGGGTAGGTGTGGATCCGAGTGTGAGCGAGTCTGATGGTGAGTGGGCCTGTGTCTGATTGAGTGTGGGTATGAAAAGTATGAGTGCGGCATATTGTGTAAAATCTGAATGTGGTGGCTTGTGTGCAAACAAATCTGGGGATAACTGAGCTGAGTATGAGTGGATATACGTGTGAGTGGTCTGAGCATGAATGCGTCTGACTACGGGTGGGTGAGTAAGAGTGGGCCTGGGTGTCAGTGAGTCTAAGTCCGAGAGAGTCTGAGTCGGAATGAGAGATGAAGGAGGCGGGTAAGGTCAGTGAGGCGGAGGCGTGGCACCAATCACCAAAACAATCTATACTCGTGATGCTGGGAACACCCTCGACCCTCGAAGTTCGAAGTTCGATCATCCCTCCCTGCCAGCGCCCTACGCCGCGAGCCCGACGCCTGCGAGAGCAGCCTCGAGCTGGTGCTCAACCAGTGCCCCCGCTGCGCCGGCTGCACCGTGCAGGCCAGCGGGTGTCAGGTCGACTTCATGCCCGCCGCGGCGCCACCGCTCCGCCGCGCGCGCGGAGGCGACGACGGCGATAACGGTGGCGGCGGTGGCGGCAGCGACGACGACATCGGCGACGGCGTCCGCGCCGGGGGAGGTGGAGGAGAAGCGCGGGAGGATGAGGAAGAGGAGGAGGAGGAGGAGGAGGAGGAGGAGGAGGGAGAACGGGGAGAGTGGAGGGCGGAGGATGGCAGAGGAGGAGAGACGAGGAGGCAGGAAGGAGGCTTAAGTGATAAGGGAGCAGGAGAAATCAGAAGGAGGGTGCGGATCAGGAACTTGTGGAGGATGAGGAGGAGAAGAGGCAGGATAATGAGCACTGAAGGGCAAGGAGGAAGGATGTAGGTAGTACATGGTTACGTGGTGACCCGCGCCCCCGCTTGGGAGGTGCATGATGTCCACCCAGGGGTGGGCACAATGGCAGCAAAGGAACATTTGCTGTGTTCTGAGGGAGGCAGATCGATAGCATGCAAACGAACCCTTGCTTCCATATCATATGCTTCATCGCATTGTCTTTTGAAGACATTTCTTATCCAGCACAACTTCTGAACATGTGTGCAGCATTTGTGTCTACGCCACCACGTGAAGCTGTTCCGGTATTTCGGCTTGGTTTCCGGGTTGTCTCCGACGTTGCGCTTTTGGATCTGAAAGTATAGATTCAGCATCTGCTGTGCACATGCATTGCTGTTCGCTATATTGCAGTTTGCGGCAAAGACCAGCGTGCATTCACCGATGTGGAGTCCACAGCATGCCAGGCGCGCGCCAGTAGCCCAACAGACACGAAGGTGAGCTCAACCATGCTAGGGAACTTGAAGGCTTGCTGTGTCGCCAACCATGGGGCCGATCCCACAGTGAGCAGGAGTATTGCCAGAAGTGGATCGGAGGAAGCTCGTTGACGCGTTTGGCGACCGTCTGTCGAGAGCAAAACCCATGAGCTCAACCCGTGCGGTCTAGCCTGCGTCGTGGGCGTCAAAGCACGCATGCCATCGGAGTCCCAATTTGGAGTAACGCAGTTGATTACGGATTTCGTGCTCCAACCACCCGTCAGCGAGCGCATTCGAGTCCACGGTCATACCTCGCTTTATATGACTATTCAAATTGGGGGTGTGGGAGGGACTGTCAGGTTATGCGTATAACCGCCGGTAGGATCGACGTAGCCAGTTCGATTGTCGTCAAAGCACAACCAAGCGGAGCCTCCAACTGCTGTCAGTGCCGATCATGTCAAGCTCGACTGTGCGGTGCTTTCCTGGTAGGGCGTGGAGTTCGTGATTGACGAGAGCTGGCGAGTGTCCAACGTGTGGTCGCAGGGGCTCGGTGGCGGAATGGGTACACGCGCGGCGTGCTGTACAGGAGCGGCCTGAATATGTTCACGCCGTTATTCATCTAATCAGGAGCTTAACAACACATGTTGTCTGCACGCACCCGGCGTCCATCGGGAGTGGATAGGAAAGTGTAGAATTGTCGATGGCCCCTCCCGAGGGCCACCCTGACACTAAAGAGCTCCTTGGGACGGTTCGTGTTCCCCCCCGGGGCCGGACACTTTTTCCCAACCGTCCTGTTGTGTTGGGTCTTCGTTTTGAAGAGACAGCGCCCCGCGTTCTCAATCCTCCCGGTGCCCCTTCCCTCCTCCCTCCTCCCTAGCGCCCAATACAGCGCTTCTTTGCTCCATAGGGAGCTCCACCGAAGGTCCCAGTGTCGCAGCCCGCTGCGTCTCCCAGTCCCAGCACAGCGCTTCGTGGCCCCAATAGGAGCTCCACCTAAGGCTTCAATTGCGCAGCCCGCATGCGTCTCCCCCACCCAGTACATCGCTTCGTGGCCCCATGGGGAGCTTCACGGTCCCAGTGGCGCAGCCTGCATGCGCTTCTGCCACCCACCGAAGATCCCAGTGGCGCAGCCCGCATGCGTCTCCCACCCCCAACACAGCACTCCGTGGCCCCATAGGGAGCTCCAGCGAATGTTCCAGTGGCGCAGCCCGCATGCGTCTCCCCCACCCAGTACAGCACTTCGTGGTCCCATACGGAGCTCCACCGAAGGTCCCAGTGTCGCAGCCCGTATGCGTCTGCCCTACAGTACAGCGCTTCGTGGCCCCGTACGGAACTCCACCGAAGGTCCCAGTGGCGCAGCCTGCATGCGCCATCTCCACCCAGAACAATGTCTGGTGGCCCCACAGGGGGCTCCATCGGGGGTTCCAGTGGCGCAGCCCGCATGCGTCTCCTCCACCCAGTTCAACGTTTTGTGGCCTCACAGGGAGCTCCACCGAAGGTCCCAGTGGCGCAGCCCGCATGCTTCTCCCCCACCCAGTACAGAGCTCCGTGGCCCCATAGGGAGCTACACTAGAAGGGTCTCAGCGTCGCAGCCCGCATGTGTGGCACCCCCACCCAGTACAGCGATTCGTGGTCCCAGAGGATCGTTACCGAAGGTCCCAGTGTCGCAGCGCGCATGCGTTCCCCACACCGAATACAGCTTTTCGTGGCCCCGTAGGGAGCTCCACCGAGGGTCCCAGTGTCGCAGCCCGCATGCGTGTCCCCCGCCTGGTACGGCCTTTCGTGGCCTCCCCATGAAAGGCTCAAACGAAGACGAGACCTAAATTGCGGTATTCACACATGTATATTGATGGGCCCTTCGCCAGCCTAATGTTAAGACATCATGCTGAGTTGGTTGTTCCTTTGGTGGGGATCCCGCGATGATCCCTGGAAAAGCTTGGCACTTCCCAGAAACGCCTGGAAGCGCATAGCAATTCCTGAAGTAAAAGTACTTCCCATATTCTGCGCAACATGTTGTAAGGATTTTGAGGACGTCCCACCTAGCGCATTCGGTTCGGTGGCGGATCAGGACGGAAGGTGGTTCCCGTTCAAGATGGGGTTCTCGCCAGAGGCTTCCGCGATTTGTTTTATTGCGTGTGGCAGTGTACAACACCTACGTCTATGGAGGGCGTTTTTTGTCAAAACGGGACTCTCGCAGGACATGACCTCTCAGCTTCTGGTCTCATCGCGCTCCTCAAGGCACTTCCTGTTCAAAGCGGGGCTCTCCTTTCAAGGACGTGCTTCTCGTGGTGAGGGGAATTCATGTGTGACCTTCCGAGCAGGGGGTTTAGGACGAGAGATTGACGCATCCTTGGTTTACTCTGGACCTCCTCCTTCCTTCCCCGCGCCCCCTTGCCTTCCTCGTCGGGTGGGGTGTTGCTTCCAAGCGCCACAGCCCGGCCTGTCTTGCCAGTGCTTGCCCCTCACCGATGCGCCCAAACCTACGCGGCGCCACATCCCAGTTTAACCATAGTTCGTTTCATGGGCGGTCGCGAACGGGCCCTTATCACACAAGGTGGCAGCGAGGAGTGGCACCACTTTGATTTGCAGCGCCGCGTCTGCTATGTTAGGTCGACCGTTATTCGGTGTCCTGCATGTGGGTGTCTGTGCCAGCGGGTTGGCCATATTCAATATGAGACTACGCTTTGACAGCGGCCAGTTGCAGCAGACGCCGTGCAGTGCTTCTAAAGCCCAATGGACACAGGATGGTGTGGACCATGTTCGTCATTATGCGCATGTGTTTACATATATATATATATATATATATACATATATATATAGAAAAATCGGTACGTCTGAATGTGTATGTGTATGTGCGTGCGGTTGGTGTTTGCGCTGAGGGGAAGCCCTCTTCCATTTTGAAAACAGTTCCAGGAACAAAGCAGGCTTGGTGGATTAGAAGGGTATGTGGTTGAAGTCTAGTTGGCTCTCTCTCTCTCTCTCGTTTCTCTCTCTCGCTCTCTCTCTCTCTCTCTTTCCCGCGCACTCGTTGTACTATATCTATATAGATATATCGATGTGTGTGTATGGGTTCATCTGTGCGTCTCGTCCGTGTCTCTGTGTCTCTCTCGCTCTCTTTCTCTCTCTCTTTCTCTCGCTCCCTCTCTCTCTCTCTATCTCTCTCGAGGTTGCCAAAGGCGTATTGGCGAGCCGAACGACTTGTTTATGTATTCAAGGGGATTCCGAAGGATGCCGAAAGTTTCTTCGGGATGTTCATCGGTTCTTCCAACGGTACGCTGTAATAAGGATTGCTTCAGACACGGTGCCCGAGGAAGGAATATTTCAGTAAGGACCATGCTGGTATTGGTTTCCCTGTTACGGGTGATGTAGTAAGGCTTAGGTTTCCCAGCCATCCTGTGGTGTTGGGTCTTTCTTTTGAGAAAAAAAGACAGCGCCCCGAGTTTCTCCTCCCTTTTCCTCCTCCTCTCATCCGTCTTCCCACCTCCCGTCACCCCCCTCACTTTGGCACACCCCTCACACGTTTCGTGGCCCCATGCGGAGCTCCACCGAAGGTTCCAACTGCGCAGCCCGCATGCGTCCCCCACCCAACCATTACAGCGCTACGTGGCCCTATAAGATGCTCTACTGAAGGATCCAGTGTGGCAGCCCGCACGCGTCTCCCCCACCCAGTACAACGTTTCGTGGCCCCATACGGAGCTCCACCGAAGGCCCCAGTTGCGCAGCCCGCGTGCGTCTCCTTCGCCCAATTTTACCCAATTTGTGTTTCGTGGCCCCATGGGGAGCTCCACCGAATTTCCCAGTGGCGCAGCCCGCATGCGTCCCTCCACCCAATTCTGTGTTTCGTGGCCCCATACGGAGCTCCACCGAAGGTCCCAGTGGCGCAGCCCGCATGCGTCTCCCCCACCCAGTACAGCGCTTCGTGGCCCCACAAAAAGCTCCACCGAAGGTCCCAGTGGGCAGCCCGCATGCGTCTCCTTCACCCAATTCTATGTTTCGTGGCCCCATACGGAGCTCCACCGAATTTCCCAGTGGCGCAGCCCGCATGCGTCCCGCATGCATCCCTCCCGTCACCCCCCTCACTTTGGCACATCCCTCACACGTTTCGTGGCCCCATACGGAGCTCCACCGAAGGTCCCAGTGGCGCAGCCCGCATGCGTCTCCCCCACCCAGAACAGCGCTACGAGGCCCCATGGGGAGCTCCACCGAAGGTCCCAGTGGCGCAGCCCGCATGCGTCCCCCTCACCCAGATCTGCGTTTCGTGGCCCCACAGGGAGCCCCACCGAAGGTCCCAGTGGCGCAGCCCGCGTGCGTCTCCCCCACCCATTACTGCGCTTCGTAGCCCCACAGGGAGCTCCACCGAAGGTCCCAGTGGCGCAGCCCGCATACGACCCCCACACCCATTACAGCGCTACGTGGCCCCAGAGGGAGCCCCACCAAAGGTCCCAATGGCGCAGCCCGCATGCGTCTCCCCCACCCAGAACAGCGCTTCGTGGACCCACAGGCAGCTCCACCGAAGGTCCCAGCGGCGGTGTTCGCAAGCATCTCCCCCACCCAGTACAACGCGCTCGTTTAAAGCGTTCCTTCGAGTTTTTGCATGGGAAAGTTTGTCAACACAGCCCGCATGCGTCTCCACTACCCAGTACAGCGCTCCGTGACCCCATAGAGAGATCCACCGAGGGTCCCAGTGGCGCAGTCCGCATGCGTTTCCCCCGCCCGGTGCAGCGTTCCGTGGCCCTTGAGGGCCTCCAGCCGAAGACGATACTTACAATTGCGATGGTCACAATTGCATCTGCTTCGATCGTTCGCCAGGCTGATTGACTTGTTTTTCGTACGGCTTTCTTGGTAATGATTTTCCTATATGCAGCATTACCCTTTCGTAATAACCCCTGAGTAAGGGTTCCGTATCAAGGATTTATGCGGGCAGGATTCCAGGTTAAACGTGCAACAAGTAATACAGCGCTTCCGCAAGGATTCTGGATCAAGGATTCTCGCACTCGGATCCCTCAGAAAGGATCGCTTGCATACGGACTTGGGGTTCTCCAGTAATGATTTAGCAATACAAATGGTTTTGATACTGGTTGCTTGGTAAGGGCGCATTGGGTCACGGGTTCTTATAGTCAGGGTTATGTAGGAAGCGTTTTCTTAGTACAACCCTGTGTGTTAGGACTCCTCAGAAAGGGGTTGGCGAATAAGGGCCCATTGAATGAGGATTCGTTGGTCTGGATTCCTGTCGTAAGGATTCCTCCGTGGGAGCCACGTCATTCAGTTTGTTGTTCGCTGAAATTGTATGGAGAAGTTATGGTATGAGGACTCCAAGCGTCCACTGTGGAATGATATTGTCGAAAGGATTATTTAGTACTTGTTTCTTAGTCCTAATTCCCTGGGGAAGTTTTCTTTTTGTATGCAGGAATGTGTAAGCATTCGGGCTTATGAGTGATGGTTCTTTATGGACGTCCGGTGGGCGGCAGAATTGACCCCGCTGGGGCCCCGCTGAACGTGCTTGATGACCCCGCTGGGAGGCGGAATCTATACGAGTGGCAGATTTTTGGGGACGACCCCAGAAGAAACCAAACAAATCAAAGAACTCAGTGCGCTGGCCTCTGAAATTGTAGGAACACCCGAAGGAAATCAAGACAACAAGGTTCCAGAGGGGATGCGGGGTCGACCCGTAGACCTTCGGGTTGTCGCTGGGCTCCTTGTTGTTCCCAACCGTCATGCGGTGTTGGGTCATCATTTTGAAGAGACGGTGCCCCGCGTCCTCCTCCTATCCGTTTCTCCTCCTCTTCCCGCTCTTCCCTCCTCCCCCTCTTCCCTCCTTCCGTCACCCCTTCCCTTCGGCACACCCGTCACACGTTTAGTGGCCCCACAGGGAGCTCCACCGAAGGCCCCAGCGGCTGCGTTCACATTCCGCCACTGTCCACTTTGGCGCTCCCGTCACACGCTTCGTGGCCCCATAGGGAGCTCCAGAGCCCCAGCGGCTGCGTTCACATGCCGCCCCCTGCCCATTTTGGCCCATCCCTCGCACACTTCGTGGCCCCATGTGGAGCTCCACCGAAACCCCAGCGGCTGCGTTCACATGTCGCCCCCTGTCCTTTTTGGCCCATCCCTCACACACTTCGTGGCCCCATAGGGAGCTCCACCGAATGCTTCAGCGGCTGCGTTCACATTCCGCCACTGTCCGCTTTGGCACTCCCGTCACACGCTTCGTGGCCCCATAGGGGGCTCCACCAGAGCTCCAGCGGCTGCGTTCACATGCCGCCCCCTGCCCATTTTGGCCCATCCCTCGCACACTTCGTGGCCCCATGTGGAGCTCCAACGAAACCCCAGCGGCTGCGTTCACATGTCGCCCCCTGTCCTTTTTGGCCCATCCCTCACACGCTTCGTGGCCCCATAGGGAGCTCCACCGAATGCTTCAGCGGCTGCGTTCACATTCCGCCACCTGTCCATTTTGGCACGCGCACGTTCCGCGGCCCCATAGGGAGCTCCACCGAAGGCCACAGTGGCTGCGTTCGCATGCCCCCCCCTCTCAACTCTGGCACACCCCTCATACGATTCGTGGCCACATAGGGAGCTCCACCGAAGGTCGGTCACAGTGACATGGTTCGCATGCGCTTCCCCCACCCAGTACAGCGCTTCGTAGCCCCATAAGGGAGCCCCACCGAAGGCCCTAATTCGTGGCGGTGTCCGCATGCATTCCCCAAACCCAGTACAGAGCTACGGGGCCCATCGGGAGCTCCACCGAGGGTCCCAGTGGCGCAGTCCGCTTGCGTCTCCCCCGCCAAATAAAGCGCTTCGTGGCCCCACAAGGGGCGCCTCCGAAGGCCCCAGTTGCGGTGTCCGCATGCGTGTTCCCCACCCAGTACAGCGTTCCGTGGCCACATAGGGAGCTCCGCCGAAGGCCCCAGTGGCGGTGTCCGCATGCGCTCCCCCCATTCAGTACAACGCTTTGTGACCCCAAAGGGAGCCTCACCGATGGCCTCAATGGCAGTGTCCGCATGCGTTTCCCCGACCCAACACAGCGCTTCGTGGTCCCATAGTGAAGGCTCCAGTGGCGGCGTTCCCATGCGTCTCTTTACCCAATACATCTTTCCGTGGCCCCACAGGCAGCTCCAGCGAACGTCTCAGCGGCTGTGTTCGCATGTCTTTCCCCCACCCAGTATAATGCTTCGTGGCCCCACAGGGAGCTCCACCAGAGGCCCCAGCGTCAGTGCTCGCATGCGTCTGCTTAGTACAGCGCTCCCTGGCCCCATAGGGAGCTCCACCGAAGGCCCCTGTGGCGACGTTCGCCTTGCGGCCCTTCTGCATGTCGGCACACCGCTCACAAGTTTCGTTGCCCCATATGGGAGCGCCACCGAAGGCCCACATGGTTGCGCCCGCATGCGTCCCTGCTGCATTTCGGCATACCCTTTACACGTCTCGTGTCCCCACGAAGAGATCCACCGAAGGCGATACCCACAACGACGAGACTCACAACTCCATATGGTCGGGCCTTTCGCCCGGATTAGTTGGTTAGGTTTTTTTGTGCACATGGTTGCATGGTTTCTCTCTCACCTGCGCGCTGGACTGTGTGATTTTTTTGGCTTATCAGCGGGCGATACCAAACATCTGCGACCCGCGTGGATTCCGTCTCACAGTTGGGCCGCCCATCGGACGTTGGGGTCGTCGCTGGGATCAGTTGTTTGTTGTTGTGGTTTTCGTGAAGGTGTTCCTAGACATGTTCTGCCACCAGCGTTTTGGATTGTTTTCTTGTGGGCGGTTCCAAAGACCTTGCTTTCCCCCAGGAAGAAGCGACGGAAGAGGCGAGGGAGGAGGCGAGGAACGAGGAGGAGGAGACAAAGGAAGAGAAAATGGTGGAGGAGGAGGAGGAATAATAATCGAATATGATGACGAGGCTGAACGAAGACGACGAATAACAGCGATGGAGGCAGGAATTGGAAAGAAACAGCGCTGAAATCCACCATGCCTGCTGTGCGCCTGAAGCCGAAACTCGACCGTTGGACCTCTCCTGGGATGCGGTGCCAACCTGAACTCTGCAGTGGAATCTAGCCGTCGCCACAGGGACGCCCCCGGAGAAGCGAAAACGGTAAAAAACTATATCCAAACGCGTTCCTTGATCTTCGACCCTCGAGTCTCGAGCCCTCCTCCTCGAACTCCACTCATCCCTCCCTCCCCTCTTTTTTATCCGGTCTCTCGAGGTCCCTCCCTCCCTCAAGGCCCCCAGGGGCCCGAACTTGAGAGGCATCCCCGACCCTCGACTCTCGAACCTTCTCTTCCCCTCCTCCTCCTCCTCCTCCTCCTCCTCCTCCACCCCATCTCTCCCTCCCCTTCCCTCCTCGTCCCTCCATCCCCTCTATCCCCTTCTTCCCCTCCCCCCCCCTCTCCCCCTCCCTCCCTCCCTCCACTGCGTCCTCACATCCTCCCCTCCCTCAATCCCTTCTCCCCGAAGGCGCCGCCCGCGGCGGAGGCGCCTCCGGACTGCAAGGCGGGCGTAGAGGTGGAGTGGGACGCGACCAAGAGGCGCCAGAGGGGAGGTCCTCTTCCTTCTCCTGCTCTTCCTCTTCCTCTTCGTCCTCCTTTCCTCCTCCTTCTCGTCCTTGTTTTTCTTTTCCTACTTCTCCTCCTTCCCCCTCCTCCTCCTCCTCCTCCTCCTCCTCTTCCTCGTTCTCCTACCTCCTCCTCCCTCCTTCGTTCTCCTCCTCCCTCGTCGCCACTCCTCGCCCCTTCACAGTTCCATTCGATGTATACTACTCGCCTCTTTCCCCGGATTCCGTCTGGAAGATATTTGGTCCTCTCGGCGTGTCGTTTCGTATAGTGATGAATTCACAAGTTTGTGTTTCTAACGCTTGATTACCATCTAGTCAATCGGTCCTTCAAAATGGTACTTCCGCTATAGCGTTGGCATCATGTCCGCGCTTCTGGTCCCTCAAAATCGTAGTCACGCTGCAGCGTTGGCCTCAAATCAGGATCGCCAACCCCCTGCTCCCATCTTTGAGAATGGCGCTCTGGCCCCAGCGCGTGCCATTCTTCTGGATCCGAGGGCTTCCCCATCATGGTCATCCAGCTCCGCTTACCTCCCCCGCATTTCCATGATCATCCTGCTCCTCCAGCTTCTCCCACTCCTGCTCGCGCTGCTGCTGTTCCTCCTCGTCCTCGTCCATGTCCCATTCCTTATAGATGACTCCTTGTCGCACCCCGAGGCTGATCGAAAGGGCGGGCCAGGCGCTTCGCATGAGGATTCCTCACAATGTGTGACCCTACTGCTTAAACGTTGACATGTGGAGGGCGGGCCGTCTTCAAAATGTGGCGCTCCGATGAGCGCCGCGCACATTACTTTAAAACCACGTAAGAGTTTCACATGTTGAGGGCGGGTCGTTCAAAACATGCGGCTCTCGCTTTAGCGCCACGCACATTCGTGTACAACCATTCGCAAGAGCTTCACGGATTGACGGCGGGTCGTTTTCAACATGTGGTTCTCGCCTTAGCGTTGCGCACATGCGTTTTAGACATGTGCAAGAGTTCCACGGATTGAGGACTGGTCGTTTTCAACATGTGGCTCTGGCCTTGGCACCTTGGACATTCGATTACACATGTTGCAACTGCCTCACGGATTCAGGACAGGTCTTTTTCACTATGTGGCTCTCGCCTTAGCGCCGCGCACATTCGTTATGAAAAGTTGCAAGAGCTTTACGGATTGATGGCGGGCCGTTTTGAACATGTGGTTCTCGCTCCAGCGCCGTGCAGATGCGTAAAGCAAGTTGCAATAGCTTCACGGGTTGAGAGCAGCTCCTTGTCATAATGAGATTATCGCTGTAGCGCCGCGCGCATTCGTTTTGGATATTTACGAGGTATTCAGTTTATCTCATCTCCTAACTCACCAGAAATTGCGTTCTGGAGCGATTCAATACTGTCAGGGCGCAACAGAGGCGTTGATTCGCTGTGCCGAAGTCCCAGGAATGGCGCTCTGGCGCGATTCACGATCGCCAAGACGTAACAGTCAGGTTAACCAGTGGCGTTGAAGTCCTAAGAATGATGTTTTGTCCGGCTCCAAAATGTTCACGCGGTGGGAATGACCCGTTGCAGGGGCCTGCGAAGATGGATCTTGGAGGGAGGGTGTATTTCAACATCGTTGATGCGTCTTGGGTCTACACTGGTCCTCCTCCGCCCCCTCCTTCTCCTGCTCCGGCTGTTTATCGTCCTTCACCGCCGCCAACTCTTCCTCCAGTCTATGCAACTCCCTATCCGATTGCGAAGGCCTTGCGGCCGGCGCCGCCGACCCTGAAGGGGAACGACGACAACGGCGCCGGCGACGACGACGACGACGACGCTGACGTGGGTCAGAGTCCTCATGGATGCTTCTTGGGGTCTCTTCCAAGCGCTCTCGGGGGCCTCAGGGGGACAGTTTAGGGCCTCTTGGGAGTCTCTTGGGGGCCCCCTGGGAGCCTCTTGGGGGCCTCTCGGGGCTTCCTGGGGGCCTCTTGGGGGCCTCTTGGGGCGTCTTGGGGGCCTGTTGGGGGCCTCTTTTGGTTCCTCCTGGGAGCCTATCGGGGCCGAGGGCTCGAAATGTTCGTTCTGGTCCCTCGTCTGGGCACCCTCTTGGAGCTGTTTTGGGGGTTGGGGGCCTCTTGGGCCGTCTTGGAGGCGTCTTGAGCCATTTGGGGGACCTCTTGGGCCTTGTTGGCTCCCTCCTGGAGCCCTCTTGGGTTGTCTTGGGGCGATCTGGGGAGCCTTTTGTGCCGTCTTAGAGCGTCGGGAAGCGGAAGAAGTGAGAACGCCAAAATGCTTCAACAACCAATTGGAAATCAGTGATTTGTCCCCGCATGTTTCGTGGTTTTGGTTTTCTTCCCACCCGCGTCGCACTCGCGTCTTCCTCACACCTCCCTCCTCCTTCCTCCCTCTCCTCCTCTTCCGTTCTCCTCCCACCCACGCGCAAGGCATGCGCGGCACGTGCATGAATCACGCGTAAAAGGCGTGGCACTTTCTCGACACCAGAGGGGGTGCGCAGGGGGTGGTCCCTCACCGCGGCCGCTATGCGCGCCTCTCGTCCAGGGCATAGGCGTGGCATTTTGTCGATACCCTGGAGGGTGCGAAGGGGGGGGTCCTAAGCTCGGCCGCTATGCGCGCCTCTCGTCCAGGGCATATCAGGCAAGGCACTTTCTCGACACCAGACGGGGCGCGCCGGGGGAGGTTCCTGAGCTCGGCCGCTATGCGCGCCTCTCGTCCAGGGCATAGCAGGTCTGGCACTTTCTCGACACCAGAGAGGGTGCGCAGGGGGTGGTTCCCGAGCTCGGCCGCTATGCGCGCGCTTCTCGTCCAGGGCATAACAGGCGTGGCATTTAGTCGACGACAGAGGGGGTGCGAAGGGGGTGGCTTCTGAGCGCGGCAGGGCATAGCAGGCATGGCATTTTCTCGACACCAGAGGGGGTGCGCAAGGGGAGGTACCTGAGCGCGGCCGCTACGCGCGCCTCTCGCCCAGGGCATAGTTTTGAGCTCGGCCGCTATGCGCGCCTTTCGTCCAGGGCATAGCAGGCGTGGCATCTTCTCGACACCACAGGGGGTGGTCTCTAAGCGCGGCATCGGATCTTTGCGCGCCGTGGAAGGCCCAGCCAGCTGGTGGGGTCAAAGTGGCCTCTAGCCAGTAACGCCCAGGCTTTTGCCCTTCCTGGACCCCCTCAGGGCACTCAGGCTCCCAAGGCTTGACCGGCGCCACCAATGGTATCGGCGAAACAACGGCCACCTGCATCATTCTCGCAAGCTCCACGTCGGCTATCATCGCGCCAGACATCTTGTAAGTATGTGGGGTTCCTCGGTAGCGTAATTCCTTTGGGGGCCTTCTTGGGGGTTCTCCTGGAGGCCTCTTAGGGCGCCTTGCAGGGCTTTTGGGCCGTCTGGAGGCCGCCAAGGCGTCTTGGACAGATCGTTCGGCGAATCGGAGCCCTCTTGGAGCATCTTGGGGGCCTTTGGGGGCTCTCTGGGCCCGTCTTCGTTTGACTTTTTGTTTGTAGACCCCGGGACCCCCCAGGGGGGAGTCGTATCTGACCCGGGACCCCCCCTGGACCCCCCCAAGAGAAGTGGCTCCCCGTAGAGTCAATTACGACGTTGTTCAATTTCGCTTTGGCTGGCGCGCTTGAGGAGGAGGGCCTTGGGAAGGGAGGGGTGAGCGGCGACGGTCCCAGGGAAAGGGGGGGCGCAGGGAAAGGGGACGACAGAAACGACGACTAGCGAATGACGGAGACGATGACTCGAACGGACAAACCCCTCACACACGCCGACAGGGTCGTCGGATTGCTCATAACACGATGGGGTCCGCTTTGCAGTTTGAGGTCGGCTTCGACACGCGTCTGCATGGGAAAATATCAGCGCAATGGGAAGGGATGGGTGGGAGGGGTAGGATGTCAGATATGGCGCGATCGTGCCTAGCGTGTCCTCCTCTATCCTCCCTCCACAATTACACAATATGAATACTGCTCGACGTCCGGAAGATATTCGGACCCCGTCCGCGTATTGTTTTCTACACAGGAATCCCAGGAATTGGGTTTTCGTTTGGGCTTTTTTTCCAAATGCTGTTCCCGCTGACGCGCTGGCCTCATTTTCGGGCTTCCGCTCGCTCCTGCTCCCGCTGCAGCGCTGGCCTCATTTCCGCACTTCCGCTCGTTCTGAATCGTGTTCCCGCTGCAGCGCTGGCCTCATTTCCGCGCTTCCGCTCGTTCCGAATCGTGCTCCCGCTGCAGCGCTGGCGTCGTTATTTCCAGTGCCGTGCCATGGAATGGTTTTCGGTCCTTCCAAATAGGCCCCCCGAAAAAGACCGTCGGAAGTGATTACACATTCGGTGTCGATTCGTTGATTTTTCGGGCCGCAGAGGCCCCCCCTCCCCCACTTTGGGGCGTCGCCACGCCATGTTATGCCATGCTGAACTCTGGCCTTCAACACCATGACATGCCATGTAATGCTATGCCACGCTGCGACATCCGACTGTGCGAAAAGAGAGGGGATCCACGCCATGGTAAGGGATGGGAGGGAGGGGTCGGCCGTCAGATATGACGCGAGCGCACCTAGCTTGTCCCCCTATCCCCCCTCCGTCCGTCCCTTTGATCTTCCTTCCTCCCTCCTCCTCCTCCTCCTCCTCCTCCTTCTGAGGCCTTCTTGACCAGTGGCACGTCGCGTCCCAAAAGTGGTGGCACCGGGCGATCGAGCTCCCCTCGTCTCGTGCTGCCGCGCCGCTCCTGGTGTATCAGTATAACACGTATGCTGTTAGCACGCTCGGCTATCTCGCCCAATTCTTCCCCATGTCCCCTCTTGCTCTCTCGCGTGAGGCTCTCGCTCTTCACAAGCTGCTCCGTCTTCCCCCCAATACGTTTTCTCGCGCCGATTTGTTGTCGTTGCAGTGGATCGGCTCGACGCCGAAATCGCTCATGCTCCTGGGTGTCTCGGCAGCGTGGCGCACATTGACCCACACCGTGCCCGACTGGCACGCTGCCTACGACAAGTTGCAGCAGGCCGCCGATGCCGCTTGTGGATCG